CCACCCCACCAAAAAGAAAAAAAAAAAAATGAAGGGAAGACTACTTCCAAACTCATACTACAAGGCCAATATAAAACCAGGTCACCAAAAAAGATATTATAGACCACTATTTCTTAAAGAGATGCCGAAGTCCTTAAGAAAATACTGGAGAACTGAATGTATAAGAAAATAAGAATCATACATCCTGACTAGGTGCAAATCGTGACAGCAATGCAAGGTTGGTTTGACACCTAAAAATTAGGTAATGTATCACGACAACAGGATCAAAAGTAAAACCCGTATGTTCATCTCCACAGATAAAGAGAAAGCATTTAACAAAATTCAACATCTTTTCATGACGAAAACACTTTAAAGAAGCTACAAATAGAAAGGAACTTCCTCACTTTGGTAACAAGCATCTCCAAAAAATATGCAGAGCTAGCATTTTACTTAACCATGGAAGATGTGCGCTTTCCTCCTAAAATCAGGGAGAATGTAAGGATGCCTACTCCTGCCACATCTACCCACCACTGCAGTGGAGGAACTAGTCAGGGCAATTAGGCAAAAAAATGAAATAAAAGGCATCCAGATAGGGCAAAAAGAAATACAATTATCACTCCTTGCAAGTGACATGATCTTATATAAACAGACATCTAAAAATCCAATAAAAAAAACACCCATTAGAATAAACAAGTTCAACAAGGGTGTAGCATATAAAGCCAATAGTTAAAGAGTCATCTTTATGTACTTAATTCAAAATAACCCAGGAAACCAATTTCATTTCTAATAGCATCAAAAATAATAAAATACTAGGAATAAATTTAACCACAGAGATGTAAAACTTACACTTTGAAAACTACAGACTATTGTTAAAAGAAACAAAGGTCCAAATAACCAGAGAGACACTCTATGTTCATGCATAGGAAGACCTGACATTGTTCATTAAGATGGCAGTACTCCCCACACTGACCAGATTCAACACCATCTCTACCAAAATCCCAGCTGGAAATATTTGCAGTTTTTGTGGAAATGGGAAAAAAATTATCCTAAAGGTCATATGGAAATTCAGAATAGCCAAAATAATCTTGAAAAAGAACATAGCCAGAAAACACATACTCATGGTTTTAAAATGTCATATGAGGCCAACACAGAAACAGAAACCCACTGCATACAAGGCAATGGCAATCAAAATAACGTGGTGCTAGCATAAGGACGTGAATGTCCTACAATTCAGATCCAGAAACAAACCCGTCTATCCATGGTAAGTTCATTTCCAAAAGGCTGCCAAGAACATTTAATGGGAAAGCAATAGTTTCTTCAACTGAAGAACTAAACAACTGAACTATCACATGCAAAAAAAGGAAACTGAACTCTTATATTCAACCACAAATAAAAATCAACGTAAAGTAGATTAATGAGGGGCGCCTGGCTGGCTCAGTAGGATAAGCAGCTGACTCTTGGTTTCCACTCAGGTTGTGATCTCAGGGTCATGAGATTGCACCCCACATGGGGCTCTTGGCTCAGTGCAGAGTCTGCTTGAGATGCTCTCTCCATCTTCCTCTGCCCTCCCCACATGTGCACACATGCGTGCACTTTCTCAAAATAAATAAACTTTTAGGATGGATTAATGACCTAAATTAAAGAGATAAAACTATAAACATCTTAGGAGAAAACATGAGGCTAAATTTTTATGACCTTGGATTGGGCACTAGATTCTTCGTCTCGGTACCAAGAGTATAAGCAACAACAACAAAGTAGATAAACTGAACAATATCAAAAAGCAATATTAAGAAAATAAGATAATTCACACAATGGGGGAAGATATTTGTAAATCATATATAAGAATCTAACACCTAGGATATAAAAATAGCTCTTACAACTTAAAGGACAACTCAATAAAAAAGGAGAAGACTTAAATAGACTTTTTTTTTTAAAGAAGATCTACAAATAGCTGCTATAGCAGATGAAAATATGTCCAACATCATTAGTCAGGAGGGAAGCGTAAATCAGATCACAATGAGATACTATTTCTTCTCTACTAGAATGACTGCATAGGGCAAATACTAAGCATTGGTGTGAATGTGAAGAGATTGAAATTATTATACGTTGTTGATAGGAAAATAACATGGTGTAATGATTTTATTGCAGTTTGGTGGATCCTCAAAAATCTAAACATGCAATTATTGTTGCATGTGACCCAGCAATTCCACTCCTATAAATATATATATATATATATAGGCACATATAGGTGTAAAACAACTGAAAACAAGGACTCTGACAGATATTTGTACATTAGTTGCAGCATTCTTCACAGTAGCCACAAGGTGGACACAATGCACGTGTCCTCAATCTAAATTAAAGGATAAAGAAAACGCAGCATAGACGTAACAATGGACTAAGATTTGGCCACGAGAAGGAAGGATGTTCTGATACATGCCAGAGATGGAGGAGCCAGGAAACACCAGGTTAGGGGAAAAGCCAGTCACAAAAGAGCACATATGACACGATTCTATTTACTTGTAATGCCCAGCAGGCAACTCTAGAGAGACAGACATCCGTCAGTAGTTGGTCAGGACAGGTGCTCTGAGGCTGACAGGTAAAGGGTACGGTGTTTCTTATTGGGGAGATGAATAGGCTCTGAAATTGCTGCTGGTTGCACAACTCTGAGAACGTACTACTGCAGACTAACAGAACTGACCCTTAGAACAAAAACCAAACCTCTCTCTGGACTCCATACGCCCCACCAAAAATATCCCCCATCGATTTCCTTCTGCCTCACAGCCTCCTTCTAGGTTTAAAGACTCTCTTGAAAAGGCTGTTTGTTTTCATTATTTTCCCTTCCTTGTCACACCGTAACTCAGCTCTGTTTGCCTGAAGGAGTGAAGCCCACACCCTTCAATATTTACTGTGACTAAGCCATAAAAGTAAGTGCAAGCAACTGAGTCAATTCTGACAGCCTAGACGGTGTGAGATCAAGGAGGACAAGATATCTGTCCCTTTCTCAAGAGGGAAATATAAAATGAACAGATAAGAAACACATTAGTCTGAAGATTAGAATGAGCCAGAAAAGATTCTGCTCCACATTGGGTCACCTCAAAGAGGCTCTCAGCAAGTGAGGCTTAAGATTTTTTTAAAAATAGGCTCCAAGCCCAGTGTGCAGACCAGTGCACCTTGGACCCGGAGACCCAGCCCTGTGCTGGAATCAAGAGTCAGGTGCTTAACTGACTGAGCCATCTACGTGTGCCAAGTCAAGATTTTTTTAAAGTCCAGTTAGTTAACCTACAGTGTACTATTAGTTTCAAGGTAGAGTTTAGTGACTCATCACTTACATATAACACCCAGTGCTCATCCCATCACCCAGTTACCCCAACCCCACCCCCCACCTCCCCTCCTGCAACCCTGTTTGTTCCCTATGGTTAAGAATCTTTATGGTTTCCACCTGTTTTTATCTTATTTTATTTTATTTATTTATTTATTTTTATTTTTTTTTCTTATTTTAGATCTCCTTCCTTTCCCGTGTTCATCTGTTTTCTTATACTCCACATGAGTGAAATCATATCATATTTGTTTTTCACTGCCTTATTTTGCTTAGCAAAATAGTTCCACCCATATTATTGCAAATGGCAATATTTCATTCTTTTTGATGGCTGAGTAATATTCCATTGTCCACACACACACACACACACACACACACACACCTATTTTTAACTTCTTGAGGAACCTCCACACTGTTTTCCAGAGTGGCTGCACCCATGTACATTCCCACCCACAGTGTAAGAGGGATCCCCTTTTTCTGCATCCTCCCCAGCATGTGCTGTTCCCTCATTTTAGCCATTCTGACCAGTGAGGGGTGGCATCTCCTTGTGGTTTTGATTTGTATTTCCCTGATGAGTGACGTTGAGCATCTTTTCATGCGTCTGTTGGCCACATGCAGGTCTTCTTTGGAGAAATGTCTAATACCAAGAGTCCAACCACACAAAGATACACTGGAAGGTGGGAAAAGCAAGAGGAATGGCATGAAGTCCAGCAACTGACCAGGGGAAGGGCGAGGCTAGATGAGGTCCCAGGGATAAGGAGAGGCTGGTGAGGGGCAGGCCTGTAGGGCTTTGTGTAAGGCAGGGAGAAAGGTTTCAATGTGCTGCTTCTCCATCTCCTAATACTCTGTGCACCTCTGTCCTGTAACACTACTGTGTCCCCACCTCAAACTAGTGCCAGCCCTAAGGAAAAGGAAACTTTCTATTCACCTCTATCTAACCAGCGCCTAGCCAGGATCTGAAGGGACGTTCCCTGAATGAACAGGCCACATCATCATGTTGTGACAAGACAAAAATCCTAACTCTTGAGGAACGGAAAAAAAAAAACAAAAACAAAAAACCTTTTCTAAAGGCAGTGTAGAAAAATGCAAATCAGGAAACTGTCACTCAAATTCCTCAGACGAGCCTGGTTATTTCTACCAGAGATGGAGATGTTTCCCAAGTTTCCGTCAGTTACAAAGAACATCTTCCAAACTTAATTAAACTCATCCCAGAATTTGAAACCTAAAACTGCCAGAAAAGAACAGCTTTAGCTTCTCTGATTACTGGTTCCCTAACTCAAGCCTATTCCCTACTTGTTGTAAGACACTGTGTGAGACGGTACCCACCCCCACGTCTTCGGTGTTTTATGGTCGTGGGCAACGCAAGGAAGCGGAGAAACTACCAGGTTACAATTCTAGAGGATGAAATTAGATCAAGCATCACCTTCTAAATACCCCAGGATAATCCATGCTTTCCTTTCCAATAACTTACATTTACCTGCTTCATTATTCGCTTCTCGTCTGCAGGTTAGATTTTCTGTTTGCATGACACAGGGCTCCGCGGCGGCTCTAAGACAGCACCCTTATCTAGAAAGACGTACCATGATTCTAACGTGGTTCAGACACACCTAACAGGTAACTGTCTCGGAGCATACGACCAAACAATGCTTCATATAAATAAACACATTTCTTTGGAAGGGGAAAACATTTTTTTCAAGTGACTTACTGTGGCCTTGAGGCTTCGGCCTGGTCCGTCTGCAGTTTTTCTCCTCCTTCCACTTCCATCGTACAGTAGACAATTCGATTGGGAGCGACGGATTTCAAACCTTGCACTTCCATTATGACAATCTAAAGATACAAAAAGAATTAAGATGATGCATCAGATTGGCTGTCTTTAACCATCTAGAAAGATAGTGACACTGACTACGATTAGAATCACTAATGGGTAAAATTATCTGGTGATACCGACGATATCTTATCTTCTGTAGGATCTACCTGCATTCACGTAGGCAGAGAAAATAACACTTTGAGGAAGTATAGTATTGAAGGAATATTTCCTGCCAGCTTATGAAAGTAAGGCTGAAATCTCTAAATGTAAGCCCTACTGAATCGAGGTGTAAATGCAGATCCTTAAAGGTCAAGCAGAGGTAAAGCAGATTCACCCATGAAAATGGGGTGAATTTGCTAAAAGCAGTGCAGGTTGGTTTCACATTAAATGAAATATTATTTATGAATGGTGCACATCATCATCACAACTCGTGGTCAACAGTATGTGACATCATCAGAATTTTCTGCAGTTACTTTAGATGACAATATTTATAAAATATTATAGAAAATGTGTATCTTATTATGAAATATGGAAAATAGGATTTGCCAATGAATATCTTACCACTAACTTGGCAAGGAAAAAAAAACTTTTCCATCCACTAAAGGTACATGCTAACTCAGTGTAGTGCACCAAGAATGGGTAGAAAGACTGATATGGTTTCTATATCTATAACTCCTGGAAAAATGGGAAACAAATATTTTTCAAGTGGGCTTTTCACATTCATATAAATAGCTATTGATTTTAAAATACTGTAACCTAATATTTTCACTGGGTGTACACATAAACAAGTTTTATTAAGTATTTTGTAATTTTTTTTTCTAATCAAAGCTTGCATCTTCATTCCTAAGTTCTTGAAACTCATGAAATATATTCAATGGCATTTTTATAACACGCTCATTCACGTCTTCACTGATCTCATGGTATACTTGTACAAACAAGGTTAACAGCATTCACGCCAAGCAGCTACCAAAACAGCCATTAGAAATAGCATATCATCATGTATTGATCACGTAATACATTATCAAAGTCACTACACTTTTCACTAAGTCGTGATATGAATCTTGAGGCCAAAGGTCACAGAGAAGCCATCTCAAAACCTCTCTGCCTTCCACTCTTCAGCACAACAGAAGGGCTATGCTCGTAAATACAAACGGCTATTTTTTCTTAAAAATGAGAAACTAATCACCAAAAAAAGAAATGCCAACCTCAGAAGCATTTTCCTGCCTCAAGCAAGATTTCTGTCATTTTATTGCACTGAGATGCATACCAGTGTATGAGTTAAGAAAAGGACATAACAGAAAGGAGAGTAAGAACAAATGGAGAAGTAACACCTCTTCTCGCTGCTGTAATACACTCAAGGAAGTTAGAGAAAAGCACTTGGTCTTGTGGAGGGTAAGTAAAAGGAGGTATATAGTCTTAATAAATCAACTTGTAAATCAATCAATCAATCAATCAATCAATCAACTTGTTAGTCATTTTGAAACTCATTAAATCCTTATACAAATAAAATGAAGCAAAAGCTGAGGCAAATGAAATACATCAACCACATCAATGAAAAACGGATTCCACATGGACTTATTTAGCAACATGACCCAAATGACTTTTCTTTTTGAAAATTTTATTTATTTATTCATGAGAGACACACACAAAGGGAGAGGCAGAGACACAGGCAGAGGGAGAAGCAGGCTCCCTGCAGGGAGCCCGATGTGGGACTTGATCCCGGGACCCTGAGGTCACGACCTGAGCCAAAAGCAGATGCTCAACCACTGAGCCACCCAGGCGTCTGACCCAAATGACTTCTTAATAAAATCTTTTAAGGTCACTTGAAATATACAAAGCAACAGAACTGCGTACACATAATAAATGTAGAAATCTTTTGGTTCCTATTTGGGAACATGTTACTCGCACTGCATGTCTTCCTATCGTGTGCTCAACAGTCAAAGTGCAAGGGAGAAGAAGGGAAGCATCTGCTTACCACTATTCCTGTCACCTCCACCACGAGCTACTGTAAACAGGACCTCCTGAAACACACAACTTGTGAAACAGTTTTCTGTTCCAAAAAACAATACTCCCATCTGTGCTGGGAATGTTTTATTCTGCAGAACTGCCACTTTCAAAGGAAGTTAACTTCTGTTCTGAATCCATACATATAAATAAAACAACAAAATTCTACAGATCTGATTTCCAAAAGGAATTTTTTAAAAATGCAGCTAGTCTCAATCATTAATGACAAAGACAGCCCAGAATTCCATGGAGCATCAGCTGACCTAATTTAGGCAATGGCTTCGACCAATTCCCCACAAAACTTGATTATGGAACCATGGAAAATAAAACCAGTCTGAATTCCATCTTGTCTTCCCCAATCTCTCTGTGACAGATATAATAAAGACAAAATATACAGAGTTATTATAGAAGCAGAAAGAATGGAGGCGTGTACAAAACACAAATCTTGGTAGCATACTTCTGCACGCAGCATCATCCTGAGTTACGCAGCGCTCGGCCACCTGCAGGTTTGAGAAAACGAAGCTGAGCGGTATTTGGAGACCTGTACTGCCAGACAAAGAAGTTGTCTGCCAGCCTAATGCCAATGAAAACTGAAAATCAACTGCACTCGTGCCAGTGACACCGGTTCTCCTACAACACACACACTCAGATTCATAGATTAACAGCCGTCGTCCTCTCTCTCTTGAATACTTAACGTACCGTTGGATGGCTTATGGTTCTGTGGGTTAGCTTCCCTCTTGCCTTACTATTCCCTCTGAAGGCTTCCTGAATAGAGAGACCTAAAAGTAATTGCTGCCTTTTTCTTTTTTTAACTGCTGCTTTTTTGATATCAAAGTTCCCAGTTCAATCAATATTTATCAAGTCAACTATGCCAGGCAGTGTTTTAGGCTCTTGTGATACCTCAGTAAACAAGACGAGACCTTAACTTCCTGTAGCTTACATGTTAATAAAATGCGCCAGGTAGTGAACAATAAACATAACAACTGAATTACATGTTAAGTGGTAAGAGCTGTGGCAAAAATTCAGCCGGACAAGAGAACAAACAGGGTACAGAGAGAGAAGAGAGCAGTCAGTGGCAGTCATAAAGAGGTGATAAAGTTCAGCAGTTTTTCAGATCTGCACGTACTCCTTAGACATCACTTCTTGAGAAACTTTACCCACTGGACGCAGTCTAAGCCTGGCTGATGAAACATGAAACCCTAAAACTGGATTAACTGCTTGCCTTTCAGAACTTTCTGAGGTTGAGGAGCAAGGCTCGGATAACTGGCCAGGGGTAATTACTGGGTTTAACGGGGCAGAGATCGGAGGCCCTGGGGACGGCGGGGCCCTAGTCTATCCTCCCCCGTGTCACAGGTGAACACTGTGTAGGCTGCCACCAGGTATGACTTCATTTTGCTGTTGGACACACATTCCTATTCATAATCCTGGGGTACATCGTGGAAAACATCTCTGAGATGCTGTGCAAGGAAAATATCTGCCTTATATAGACAGGGCAACAGAGGACCATCAAAACAGGGTTATTAACAGGCAGCTCCTCAGGCCATGCAAAATGGAGGTTTAACTCCTATTCTCCCCTTAACATGATTTTATTGTTAACTGAGCAGCCCTGTTTAATATATCGGCAATAAAGTATGGAATAATTCACAGTTTTACAAGCATGATTTTATTTTCAAAAGGGAAGGGAGTTCATAAAAGCCAGCTATTTACAACTTTTGTTTAAGAATTTTTAAATAGAGAAAAGAGAAGGTGTTCTGAATGATTTCCAGTTCTGCATGATAGGTTTACACATGATAAAAAATAATCTGCATTACAAATTATACTATAATCAAGTAACTGATTATATTTTGTACAAAGCCTTAAGAGGAAAAGAAAAGCAATGTGGCACTTTATATCTCGGTGAGTAGGAAAACAGACAGGAAGGAGAAGACAATTGTACAGGTAAGATACTGTGTAGTTTCCCATTAAATATCTCCTTAAGGTATTGAAGAGATTGAGGAGAAACCCAGTAATGGTAAAATCAGTAAGAAACCCCAGAAAAGAGTCTTGAGTCAGATGAAAACCTATTTCCAACTCTCAAAGTAAATTTAATCTATTAAACTACATAGAAATCATTAGCCTGGCAGTTAAGAAAGAGAGAGGCAGCTGGCTTATCCTCAGGTCTGAATTTATCTTTGAGTTGAGTAAGCGCAGGAAAGAATCAAAGCACACATTTGCTTTTTCTGCCACAAACTAATAAGCAAGCCACGAGTAACAAGTATCAACAAAGAAATTTAAGATGGTACCTCCTGAGACTCCATGTACTTTCCTCGGTCCACCTACAAATTTAAATAGCAGTAGTGGGCTCCAGCAAAGAAGATTTAACAATGCAAGGAAGGAATTGCAAGCTTTAGGTTTTGAGAGTGCTGTAAATTTAAGCTTGATACGGCAAGTATGTGTTGTGCTGTGTATAAAGGCATAACCACATACAGGGATCAGCCCAAACACAAACATTAGCAACGAGGAGAAAATGGTGCCATGGAAAACCTCAACAGGGGCTTAGTAAGATTCTGCATCAACATCTGCTTCCCAGTGAATGACCTGCATATGAAGGATAAAACTCTGCCATCTTCGGGATCACAATTCTAAATGCATGACATTGGTTCCTGTTCTTCATAGTAGGTACTGTAGCTATCATGAGACCGAACATCCTGGAAAGGAAGAACTGTCTATCATCTATCTGCACCCAATATCGTGTTGCAAAGCTAGCCGGTGTGATTCGATTCTAGAAAAACACCGTAGGTGAGGTAGATTGAAAACAAAGCAAACCAAAAGCCTGAAAGCAATTCCCAAATCACAGAGCATTCAATTATGTGTCTAACTCCTGGCTCCACCCGATGTGCTCTGGTGCTTACTTTATCCATGAACTTACATCAGCCCAGTGGGCATAAAGACAACTTGTCTCAAAACTTATTATTTAAAAAAAAAAAAAAAAAAAACTTATTATTTAATCCTAGAACTGCTATTATGTTTTTTGTTTTTTTTTTTAATTTTATGATAGTCACAGAGAGAGAGAGAGAGGCAGAGACATAGGCAGAGGGAGAAGCAGGCTCCATGCACCGGGAGCCCGATATGGGATTCGATCGCGGGTCTCCAGGATCACGCCCTGGGCCAAAGGCAGGCACCAAACCGCTGCGCCACCCAGGGATCCCTGCTATTATGTTTAAAGCACATTTTGCATTGATTTGCATTCACAACCTGATTGTCTAGCAAATGAAGAATAATAGGACTCCTTCAAAATAGATCACACTGCTTTTAAATTCAAAACGTTACCACGAAGGTCAGCACAGCTTATTCTGCAGTCCTGTTTATGCTGTCAGAGGCGTGGGGTGAAGTCACTTACCTCTAAGGTGAATGACAGCACCACATCCGACTTCGACAGCTGAATCTCATTCTCATCGCCTAGGTCCAAAAATGCAGAATTCTGTGAACGCTTTAACTTTTGTAATTTAAATTCTGGACCACCTTTTGAAACTGGAAGACTTTCCAAGTTGGCCATTAGCAGATTCACGGAAGACCGCAACTCTTCTATATACATACTCTCCATTTCTTTTGCTATAAACTTGGGGAAGTTTCTTTCCTTGAAAACAAATTTTAAAATAACAATGTTACAAAAGTCATATTTCAATTCTATCATAGAAGGTTATACAATGTATAAGTCTGCTGTCTTAGAAATTGTGATGCTCAATATAAATGTGTCTACCCAATACTTGAGTCTCCAAGCTTTAAAGTCATCAGGCTTCGGTAATTTTGATTATTTCTAAGAGTACCTTATATCTTTTTCAAAATCATTATGGTACAAAATGAGTAACATTTTCACATTAACTTTATTTTTGATAATGTACTTATTAAGGAAAAACTGAAAACCTACATGGAAGAAAATTCAGGGTCTAGATACATCTTAATTAGCCACTGTTAACTTTGAAATGCTTGGGGTAAACTGGTTGGTAAGAAAAATGTTCAGCAAACACTGTGGTACCTATTAGGAAACAAACATTTTATTCATCTTTCTTACCTCAGATATGTATTGTTAAGAGAATATCCCTTTTTATAAGCATTCAAATTAAAAACCACATAATAGTCATATAATATTTCTAAAATTAATTTTCACATCACACAAATATGACCAGACCCCTTATGACTATAAAATCAGTTTTCTAGTAAAGATTTAGAAGACTTTAAATTTAAAACAAAAGGCCAATTTATGAATAAAGTTGTACATAAAGAATAACTAGAAATTTACATGACTGATTTCCTTTTTGTGTTAAGTGAGCATTGCCATTTGATCCTTAGATCTCTGCAATCAGATGTCAGCTTCTTTCACTCAATGAAAAGGACGTTCCGAATACTTGTATTTTAAAAGATCGGCATATATGGCCAAACTGCCCTTCGAGAAGAGGACACCCATTTATATTCCTACAAAGAGCAAAAGGAGGCTTCCTCTCGCTACTGGCTCCTTCTTAATCTTTGACGACCCGGCCTCAGCTCTTCCCTTAAAAACAGGTGACAGCTCTACGAAGTACGACGTGACGTGGCGACAACCGTACAAGGCTGGCTGGGAATGCGAGCAGCCACCTTTCCACCGGTGGCGTACTGCTCTAGAAAGCTCCGTGCCTTTCCAGCTCCCTGGACGTCATCCGAAGCGTAGCCTGAGGGATCCCCATCCTGGGACCAGAACCCATCCGTGCTGCTCTCCTCAGCCTGCACCCAGCCTGACTCGCTCACACCATGTGCTCAGGGGATGGAGCGCAACATCTGGCACCGCTTCGCAGATCACTCCCAGAGCCTCAGGCCACCTGTTTTTTCTCTTCACCCAAACATAACTGTCACCTATTTCTTTTAACATAATTTGCATTTAATCAATATTAAAATTGCATATTTATTGTCACATAGTTATTAAGTAACCACATTCATACTTAACTTTTTTTTTTTGACATTTTATTATTTATTCATAAGAGACACAGAGAGAGGCAGAGACACAGGCAGAGGGAGAAGCGGGCTCCCTGCAGGGAGCCCGATGCAGGACTCAATCCCAGGACCCCAGGGTCATGCCCTGGGCATACTTAACTTCCTTAAGGAAGATTCTTAAGTATCCTTTTAACATTCTTGTACAGTTTGAAGCAACATTCTAGAAGAGTGAGGAAATATATTCAACTATTCAGTTACAGAATACCTCGGCTATGAGGGATTGTTCTGGAATGGTTTCTCAGTACAGAGAAAAGAAGAAAAAAAAAAAAAACAAGCAGAATAAGCCATAAAAAGATTTTTAGGGATCCCTGGGGGGCTCAGGGGTTGAGCACCTACCTTTGGCTCAGGGAGTGATCCCAGGGTCCCAGGATCAAGTCCTGCATCAGCTCCCTGCACGGAGCCTGTTTCTCCCTCGGCCTGTGTCTCTCTCTCGGTCTCTCTCTCTGTGTCTCTCATGAATGAATAAATAAAATCTTTTTTTAAAAAAGATTTTTATTTGTATGCACTGACTTTAAAAGCTGTTATGAGAAGTATCCAAAACTCAGAAATAAGGCAAAAAGGTGAAGGCCGGGTCCTTTCTATGCCCTACAGGGGCAAAGGGCATCCAAAGGTCATCTGAGGAAATACACTTAGTAACTTACTATTTATTGGTTTAAGGTCCAAGACGGTGAGCTTATGCATTACCTTACAGAATTTTGTCTGGAAGAGATTCATGTGTGTCTGAGTTTAAAACCTTGTTGGTAATTAACCACTTTTATTTTTATTTTATTTTTTATGTTTTAAAAGATTTTATTTATTCATTCATGAGAGACACAGAGAGAGAGAGAGGCAGAGACACAGGCAGAGGGAGAAGCAGGCTCCATGCAAGAGCCCAACGTGGGACTCGATCCCGGGTCTCCAGGATCAGGCCCTGGGCTGAAGGCGGCGCTAAACCGCTGAGCCACCCGGGCTGCCCAAGAAATTGACCACTTTTAGATCTCATCCATGAATCTTATTTTAACTTTGCCTAAAAACATCACTTTTGATATATACTCCTTGCGTTAGTTTTAACATGTAACTGGTTTGCTCATTCATTATGCACTGAATGAAATTACTGTGTGTTCATTTCGTATTTGCAGGATTCATAATTTTCCCTTTTAAAAAATATTTACTTTAGCAAAGCAAAAGAAAATCATGTTTGAAACTCTGGATGGCCAATTTTCTTTTTCTCAAATTTTTAAGGTGTCATCTTATGGAAAACTTAGCATTAGCAAAAACCCTATTTTTATTTAGTTTTAGTTAAAAACACTATCATTTTTCAAGAAGGAGACAGTCACCAAAATTGACTGTCTTATCAACATTTTCCAACTTTTCAAGAAATACACTATCCTTGATTTTTTTTTCTCTTTGGGGGAAAAGAGAGACAACTCTGTTTTAAAGCTCTGAGGTTTATTAATAGTATTTTATCAACTTTATTTAGCCAGCTTATGTCGTTTCTTTCTTGGAAACAAAAATCAACTGTACTTCAGGCAACCATACATGTTAAATTTAATCTTTTAAATTAGAACAGAATCAGAAGTGGGTTATTCTCCAGTTTAACTGAGTCTTTCTTATACACCAGGGTTTAAATGTTCTAATTTACTCGCTCATTAGAGGCCCTAAAACATCATACACATGAAAATGTTTGCTCCACAAAAAAATTCTCAGTATTCAAATCTAGTCCCTTTTTAAGTGCTCCTAATATTCCAGTAGATGAAGCCTGGGCCAGATTGGTAGGTGGAGGATGGGGACAGCTGTCAGATTCTAGAAATACTTTGAAGACGGATGCAAATGGATCTAATACATTTATCATGAGGCACGAGAAAAAGAAGGAGTCAGAGATGATTCAAGTTTCTTCTGGTGTAATGTTCCAAGACAGTGCCTGCCGCCAGGAACTGGCCTACCCTGAGCACTTACTGGCCTACCCTGAGCACTTACCTGGCCGTGCTGAGCACCCTCCCCTTCTCCTACACTCCCGGTTCACCTTGCCTTTATTTTCCCAATAGCAAATGATCCCCTCCATAACTCAGTTACACGAACACTTACTGCTTATCGTGGGGCTCTTCCAAATGCAAGCTGCACCAGGGCATGGCAGGAGTATGTTTGTCTGGCTTTTGCCCAAGACAACTACACGTTTGTCTGGATGAATCCCAGGTGCCTGGTTATTTTAGGAGGCCTTCAATAAGCACTTATCCCATAAATTTATGGATAGAAAAATTCAGGCTTCAGAAAGTTAAATAAACTTGCCTAATGTTCTGTATCTAGGAAACAGCAGTCATGGATTTGCCTACAGGTTTTTCCGGCCCAGTCCACATTTTTCCTGCTACTTTCTAATAATTATGGCATGGCAAAAGTATTAAAGCCAGTATTTCTATCCTTTGAAATAGATTTCTGCCCTAAGGTTTTGTTGTTGTTATAATGTGCTGTGAAGTATGGTAGGAGGTGTTACCGATCACCAATGATTGCTAATGGACCATACTTCTGGATTTATCAGACTGAAGGCTCTGGAGTCAAAGACCAGGGTTTGAGGCCAGCCTCCACCATATTATTAGTTCCGTAATCTTCAAGTCAGTAATCTTCCCTAAATCTCAGTCTCCTCATCTATACAATGAACTCATTGTTCTCATCTCCACTTCTGGGTTCGTAAGATCATTGTAGAAATACAATGCAACAAGGTCAGTAAATTCCGATTAGCTTTATGAATATTTTATGACGGTGGCTTATAATTGGTGAAATTGAATCAGAAAGCAATTAAACATTAACAAAAGGCATCTTATTTTTGGTGGCTTTTTCTCCTTCTAATTCCATTGGCTTCACTGCTCTCTCTACACTTTAAATGTATCAATGTCTGTAATGAAACCAGTGGGTGCTATCTCTGTGTGTGCTCACTGACCCTCTCCCTTTAAGCCCCGAGGTTATAAACCCACATTCTACTCCCAGGCATAAACATGAGACACACAAGGCTCTCCCTCCTGTTTCATAACCCTCTAGAAATTCATCTACACTTCATTCTAAAGCATCACATCTCCATCCAGGCCCCTAGAGAAGCAAATCCAACTCATGACCATATGCACAGGCTCAGCGTACCCATATGTACATACACCGAGGCAATCTACAAATGTGGATCACAGGTCCAGAGTCCTGCCCCGCAGAGTCTGGAACACCCCAGTCTCAGGTCTTCAAGAAAGGCTAATGTCTTTCCAGCCAGTTTTCCAATTCAGCTAAAGGTTTTGGGGGTTTTCCTCTTTAAAGCTTCCAAACAGCCTTCACCTTCTTGATTTCCATCCTATGAACTCGACATTTGAATCTTCAAAATGATGTAGTACCTCTCCAGATATCCCGAGGATAGTAACGAGGCATGTTGCCCTTTAACCACTGTCCTTTGTATGAATGCACCTCTTTAGCCCCTATTTACAGCATCCTATGTTTTCAAACATCTGGAGACTCCCTGTCATCTGTCTCTGGCTTGGTTCTTAAAACTTACTGTCACTTCTGCTACCCAAATTGTCTTAATTTTCTCAACTTCCCTGTTTATCTCCAACTTCTCAACAATTTCCCTACTTTTTAATAGACTTTTAGATAACACAGAATTAGCATTCTTAAAACTTACACATTATTCATAAATGCATTTTTCTTTGCAAAAACAAAAACAGTTTACTTGTTAAAATCAGCATGGGATGTATCTTCTTCTCAAGTGCTGGAAAAGTCCACTATCTTGATTTAGGAGGTGGTTAACACAGATCATGTACACATTCACTCACTGAGCTGTAAACTAAATATTTGTAGGTTTTACTGAGCACATTATACCTAAATCTTAAATGAAGAAAACTCCTCAATAGGGAGGATTCTTTGAAAAGATGGAGGATGCTAAAGGAAGAGTTTATCTCCAAATATTCAAAGTTTTGATTAGCAGAAGGGAAAAAAGGAAAAACAAAACAAAACACCGTATTACAGATCTATTAGGAAAAACTAAGTTTTCTTTTACTATTAATAAATTAATACATCAATTTACTAAATGATGCAGATAATGAAGTTTCTTATCCTCTAAGAAATCTTTTTTTTCCCCCTCTAAGAAATCTTAAGTATTAAAAAGAAATTAATGGTTTTTGTTTGAACTTACTCCTGTTACATAGAATCACAGCAATTGCACAAATAAAATCATATTGAACGCACTACCTGTGAGACTCTTTTATTACAAACTTCAAGTTAGATTTTTTACCCATTCAAATATTAGTTGACTCCGCAACATGCCAAGCACCATGTTCAATATCTTGGACTCTGATTTTGCACGGACAATATTTCACTTCCCTGATTAGGTTATGGTAAGCACAGTATTAAAATTCTTCTAAATCTGGCCTTTTGAGAAATTTAGGCATTGCTTTCATAATAATCTACCAAGTTACTGAATTTAAACATGTCCTGTGTATCAGGAAGGATATGTAAAACAGGTAATATGCTCCATTTACATACTATGCACTCAGATATTTGGGCCTAATAAGTATGCACACAGAGAAGATGATGATAAACTTATACCACCTATACAGAACTTTTTCAGCTCACAGAAATAGGAGTAAAAAGAAAAGAGATACAGTTTGTCAAAGTTAGTAATTTACCTTTGCCATTTTCTCTGCCAATTGCAAACGACCATCAAGTTCCCTTCTGATCTGGGCTGCTTGTTCATCTGCATTATCCAGCTTTAAGAAAGAAATAACACATATGTGATTACTTAATGACAGTGACCTACAGATTAAAGCAAAGACTTAAGGACTCAACTTTTGTTTTTAATAAATTCTCTCAGCTACCTATTGAGAACACAGAATGGCATTTAATTAGATTGGCAGTCCAATTAAATTTCTTAGGCACTTTTCATTTTGGTTTTGTTCACAAAAGAAGTTATTAAATTGCTAAGGTTAATTGCTCAGTTTACCTAAAATCTAATTATGATAATTTCTTGTCCAACCTGTCCACAACAACTCTAAACCAGGAAGTCTTTGTTTCGTTGAAATTACATTAAATTGTCCTTAAGCTTATTCAGCCCATCCTTCTTTCTTTGTGAAGGTCAGTCCTAAGTAATTCCAGAGATAAATATCTTGTTTTGTGCTTTCAAATTTCCAGAGTGGTGAGATACTGAGTCATGCTTTACTTCTTTGTCCTTTCAAAAAATATTCCCTTAAAAAAAAAATATCCCCTTCATTTTTATAACAAGTTGGTGCTAAACTGTGAAGCTACCATTTGATTGACAGATAAGAACTTCCAACCATTTAAATCTTCATATTCTCCTCATTCCAGTATCAATAGACTCACAATGCCAAGAAACTCTTCCACTCTCTTACAGATTGGCACCACATTAGAATTCCATTCTCCTGTGCTAAGTTTGATTGAAAGCAAGAAAAATGTGCAATCATCATTTTTAAAGTTATTTACATGGAAAAAGACTTTCACTTATCCAGTGAAATAATCCTTTTCTTATACAGTTTCTTTAAACTTTTCCTCATGATTCCCTCTTTCTCTAATTATCCACAATCCATTTACTGTATTAGTTCATTATAAAATCTGCTAATTCGAGGCAGTCCTATGAGCCAGTGAGAGGCACTGGGTGAGCTACAGACACTCCTCTCGACTTTAATTCCTTCTCCTTTCCTACTTCCATCATTAAGAAACCTGGAACACACCATACACTTCAGGTCCACCTGAAGCCTGGATTAGTATTGAATACAACATTGTACACACAGGAGAATAAGGACTGACTTTTCTATTTGCTGAAGAACTACAAACTGACCAGATTACATTCCTTAAAGCAGCTTAAAAAAAAAAAAAAAATGCCTGAAAAAGAGGAGTAGGGTCAATGCAGGTCAACAGGATGGTGTTGTCAGGACACATATAAAGAGTCAAGAAAAGGGGAAGATGTTCCAGTAAGAGAGGTTGAGGTGAGGTTAATAGTTGTGAAAATGATGGATACTGGGGGGCAGGGGAAGGTTCATGGGAAATGGGGCTGGAAAGAGGCTAGCTACTTCATAAACACTCTTCACAGCCATGTTGGAGAGTCTGGAGTCGGTTCCTCAACCACAGGGATTCCTGGAAAAATTTTAAACGGGATTTTAGAAAGAACACAATGTCTCCAGCACAAACAACAGCTTAGAGGGACATAGGAAGTCTGATATTACTCATTAAAGAAACAGATCTGCTGTTATCTTCCTAGAAAAATGTTTCCAGGTAGATTTAAGTAATTAAATTCATTTCAAAACAAGTTTAAAAATAGTCAAGATTTTTTTAAAAAAAGATTTGAGGGTGAGCTAGTAGCACGCATGAGCGAGGGGGTGGGGAGAGGGCTCCATCCCAGGACCCTGGGTTCAAGACCTGAGCCCAAGGCAGATGTTTAACCAACTAAGCTATCCAGCTGCCCCCAGCCAAAATTTTCTTAAACTACATTGCTGGTAAATAATTTTCTATGTCATCTATAGAACAAATGCAATTTCATTAATAGGATGCAAAGTCAAAGAAACAAAGTTTCTCTTCACTGTGCCCAAAGTCAAATGATTTACACTAAAAACTAACAAAATGGTTAAAAAATGTGTAGCATGTCTTGCTCTAGGAAACTGAAATCAAGGTCATAAAAGCAAAAATTATGTGTAAGAGCTCGTAACTACAATATTTCAAGTGGAATATGGAATATGTTCTCATATTTGCTTAAATTCTGATAAATATCTTTCCACAGAAAAATTAAAATGGTTACTTGCATGTAAAGAGTTCTAATTTCACCAAGGAATAATATTTAACATCTTCAAATAAAAGGTCATAGTTCTTCAAACTTCACAAAATAGTATTTAACATCTTCAGATATTTCTATCTTTGTATTAACAGCTCTTAATTTTGAGTGAAATTATTTGACTTACTCCTGGGTTTTGCAAGTATTTTCTTTATAAGAGACAGTTTTCTACTACTTCTAAAAAATATTAATACCCTAACTGCATTTGTCTGAAAAAATGTAGGCAGAGAAAAACAGAGCATCGCTCTACCAAATGACCTTTTAATAGTCTTCTCTTAAAATTGTCAGAGATTAAAAGCTTACTAATTTTGGTGACTACTGGTGTCATTCTGTGAAACCAGAACTGCGTACTTCCAAACACATTACAAAAAAAAGGAAGAGCTAATATAGTAAAGACAATGAATTTCTTTTATCTTTCTGTCATGTAACACTAGATAGAATTTAAAGAAGTAAATCAGTTAACTTTTTTTACATGTAAAAATATTAATGTTTCATTTATTTTGGGGGGATTTATTTATTATTTTAGAGAGACTATGTGTGTACATAAATAAGCAGTAGAGGAAGAAGAAGAGGGAGAGAGAATCTCCATCGGATTCCACTGAGCACAGAGCTGGACACAGGGCTCAATGTCAGGACCCTGAGCATCGCCACCTGAGCCGAAACCAAGAGTAGACACTTAATCCATGACACCACCCAGGCACCTCTTATTTTCCTGAGCATTTATTATTATTTTTTTTAATTTTATTTTTTATTTATTCATAGAGACAGAGAGAGAGAGAAGCAGAGACACAGGCTGAGGGAGAGGGAGAAGCAGGCTCCATGCAGGGAGCCCGACGTGGGAATCGATCCGGTGACCCCAGGATCACGCCCTAGGCTGCAGGTGGCGCTAAACCGCTGTGCCACCAGGGCTGCCCTATTACTTTTTTTTAATTAACTGAAAGCTTAAGATAATTTCATTTCCTTAAAAGGTGATGTGTCAATGGCAATTAGTTTCACGTGCAGTTTTAAGGAATCGTGCCCGTTATACGGAATCGTGCCCGTTATACACTGCTAGTCTCCTCCAATGGCAGCATCTTATAAAAGCTGTCCTATTAGATCACAACCAGGATACAGACTTGGATATAATTAGCCATTTTACCCGGATTTTCTCGGTTTTATGCTTACTCATTTGTATTAACCTATCATTTATCTAAATTCATATATTCACCACTATCGTCAAAGAGATGAGCATGAGCATACGTGAGTGAGGGGAGGGACAGAGGGAGAGAGTCATCAGGCACACTCCCCACTGAGCACAAAGCCCAAGGACATGGGACCTTGAGGTCATGACCCATGCCTAAACCAAGAGTGGGATGCCCAATCAACTGAGCCACCCATGTGCCCCCAACAGTGACGTTTCAATACTCTATGTTGCTCTTTTATAAGCACATCCACCTCCCTTCAGCCAATCCTCAGTTGGTTAGTTTTATTAATAATGTACTGCTTTTCACGATGTTTAAAAATAAATTCTAATAAGGCAAATGGATTTTCTTCTAATTTCCATTATGAAACTGGAGATGTGCACCCATGGGAGGTTAACGTTTGTAAATATTGGATGGGGGCCTTGAACTTTTAATCCACATGTTACCACAGGGGTGATTTCCTCAAAGTACATGGCCACAAACAGCATCTATTCATTGACAATGCATCTATAGCTCCAACCCTTCACAAAGTTCTGAGTTACATTTCCAACTGCTTATCACTGATTTAATTTCCATGAAAATTAACAAGCCCCAAAATGCAATCCTGACTTCTAGCTCCCCAATCATTCCTTCCATGAATAATGCCATGAATAGCACATCTATTCAACACAGCTGCCCAAGACCAAAACCTAGGTGTCATCTTGAACCTTTCTTATCCCTCACAGCCCACATCCAACCCAACCCACAGTCATGTAAAGCCTAGATCACATTATTTAAGTTGAATAGAATTCAGGTACTCTGATGTCTCAGGCAGGGCTCTACTTTTTTTGCGGTGGAGGCTTTTCCTGACCACTTCAAGCATATCTCTTTCCACAAGAACAGTTGTGCATAAGATTATGGTGAAAATAATGCTTTTTCTTTTCTGAACTCTCCAGAAAACTTGGGTTTTTACACCAGTTTCTCCACCTCCCTTGAAAAAGAAGAAAGAAAGAAAGAAGAAAGAAAGAAAGAAAGAAAGAAAGAAAGAAAGAAAGAAAGAAAGAGAAAAAAAAGAAAAGAAAAGAAAAGAAAAGAAAAGAAAAGAAAAGAAAAGAAAAGAAAGAAAAGAAAAGAAGAAAAGCTTAGACAGATGGTTTATAGATGTGAGACATCAGATTTTAAAATGCTGGGTAACACATCTGTCTCTAGTACTTGATTTGGGTTATAAGATAAAGAAAATGGGATACGTGGACTCTAGAGTTCATGGCAGGGTCCAGACACAAGCATCACTCTATGAGGACAACTTCATTTTTAATTTCATTTTAATTCTTGATTTCAACACTTTGTGACAATATATTACTTACCTCACAGATGTCCTTTCCTGGATTAGAATATTTTCCAGGTCTTATAAAGAGAGTCATTCAACCCTGACCATAACAGATGCCCAAATGTATCTTTATTCTCTGCAATGCCCCTAGTACCTATTACATAGAGAATTTTTAATTATCAATGGAAAATTATCAATTTCAATTACCACTTCAAAATAAATTACCACTTCAACCATCAAGGTATTTTTCTGGACTGGCAAATATTTAGTACAGAAAATGTACTTTTATTTTCCTCCTGTTCATTACAAAGAAAGTATTGTTTCCATATTCAGAATCCTCTGTCACAGAATACTTTTCAGGTCTTTTTAAAAAGAATCAATCAATGGCCAGGACCATAACAGGTGCCCAAAGGTATCTTTATTCTCTGCAATTCCTCTAGT